ACCACAGTTTAATTCTGTGTGGTTGGGGGAGGTTAGGGTTAAACAATCTGCAAACATCTCACCTAGAGTGATACGGAAAAAATGGAAGTAGAACCACGTATAAAAAAATGTACTTACAATTGTTTCTATGAATGATGGTAATTTGTACCATGTGACCACCAGCATCCAGTCTGGTGTCCAGCTAGAAAATGACGTATGTACGGCCTTGATCCTTGACAATGCATCCTGCATCACTGGTCCACTGGTATTCGTGTAAATCTAAAATCAAGAATCGCATGAGTTCAGATAATTCCATTCGGTTGTGGTAGATTTCTTTTTTTTTTGTTTTTTAGTTACGACTTAATTGCAAGACAGCAACTTTTTAAACAGAGCAAACTATGGCTCAATCAGGCTGTATAACTCTTTGGCAGAAAGAGGCATTCATATGTGCTAGACAGCATTTGCTTTTACTCAGGGAAGGGCTTCCCGTGGATTTTCTGGCTCCCTCAAAATGTGTTCTTCTTTCCCTTGGTCCTTCAAAGGGGTGGTTTAAAGGGTGGCTTAAAGCTGGAACAAAAAAGCCTTTTGTTTACTGCTTGCATCAACAAAATCAAACAGAAAGAGTCCACTGTTGGATAACATTGGGTTCAGCATTATGGGTTTTTGCTGGCTGGTCCGATGTTTACAGGATAGCAATAAAAATAATATTTATAATGGTACTGTGATGGTCTCAGGAGGGCCTCCCGCATTCCACCTTAGAATTTGTTACTCTGAAGTATGCAGCGCACCAAAGGAGTTCTTTTGAATTTGTATATTAAAGGATTTTGGCCCTAAAACCTGTTGAATGCACTGTGTATTGATAGGTGGGGGTTCAACGAGCAAAAAAAGCTGGGCTCGAGCACGCTCATGGCACACATGTTAAACTACACCACAGGGTAACCGGAGGCTTCGTCCTCTTCACTTTGTTGCTGTGATGTAAGTACCCCACTATGAAGTTTTGGTAGCCAACACCCAAGACAAGCTGCTGAGTCGAGACGATGCTAAGAGTGGACTCGCATTTACTATTTAGCCCACCGTGCCACCAGACCTCTTGTTCGATGGTTGTGAGTTGTACCCAGGCTCACTGTTGTCTGGCTTGGGCTAGACAAAGCTCAGTGTTCTCCCAAGAAGGCTTGGGCTAGACAGGTTCAAATGCTCTCCGTAGATGAGCGTACCATTGCCAGTCCTGACGGAAGTGCTATCTTGGATATGTTCTATCCAAGCCCTCCCTGGCAGTTACTAGCCATGCCAGAACCCCACCTATGTTCACTCTACCCAGTATTAATCTTGCACATGTAATCTTCACTTTGCCATCCAGTTTGTGTGTAATTTCCCTTGATACTGCTCGAAGACGATATTTCATTGTTTAACCTCAGTTTATTTGTTCATGTTGCGCCCTTGTTAAGTTGACTTTTGATGAATTTGCCACATGTAACAGTATACTGTTTGATCAAGTCAAAGATTATCCAGTCACCTCATGGGCAACGCGAGGATTTGTTTCCATGGGGGAAGCCCTTTTTGGGCGGGGGAACCACTCATTAGCAATGAACTGATGAACTATTGACTGCAGAAGAGAGTCAATTTAAGGTTGTTCAACTACATTTGTAAATTGTTGATCTTTGCCCTCTTTTAATTTTGGTCAAGGGGGGGGTTGAAGGTGGCAGAGATCCTTTCTTGCCGCCTTCCTTGATCCATGAATCACATGACACATAATAACATGTGTAAGTATGGTCTGTAATTGTGAGTGAGAAATACACACATAATCTCTAAAGCGGTGTTTTTAGTGTAGCAGTGGTTGCAGCTGTGGAGGTACGTGTAGTTTCAGGTTTAATACTTTCTTCAGCCATTGTTGTGGCTTCACCTGTGCTGTAGTTGTTCCATCTGCTACTGTGGAAGCACGAGACGAAGTGAACTGTTTGGTGATACTATTTGAGCACTTCAGCAGCCAGCATGCATAGTCATAAATAGCAAGACTTTTGGTATAACATACAGTTATGACCACAGAACAAGTGGTTTCAGAAAATATGCCCAAGAAGTCTTGACACCAAGTTACCTGGTAAAAAACCTCAGCATCACCAGCAAATGGATTGGCATCGATCCAGAAAGGCGCAACAACGGCAATGCTGTCACTGCGATTAAATCCACCAGGGAATGGATGGGGAAAGGCCAGAAGCATATCATTGCGGTTGGTGAAGATGATCTGTCCATTATCTGTGAACTAGAATATGGGACATTTTTGAAATAAATCACTAGTGTTTAATGCCAAAATAATTCTTCTGTGTAAGTTGACAATTTCCAAATGTCTTCTTAACTTCTACAGCATGTCCTCCCTGAAGTTGGAAATGCAAATAGATTCCAAATCTATGAAGTTTGCTGCTTGCAACGTGCAATAAAATCATTAACCAGGAGACTGACTGCAATATCAAGAGCATACAATGTTATACAATTTGTTTGATATGTGACTAAAGTTTCAAGACATATGCCATTTACATGGTCAAAATGAAATTCAAGACTTTGACCCTTTTTAGAGACATAGAATATTGCAAACAAATTGCCAAGAGAGTCTGTGTAACTGTTGGAGTCAGAACTATTTATGATCAGATATGCACCTAAAATTAAAGTCAACCCACCAAACAATATGGGAAATCTACCACTCATCTAAACCTGGAGTACATTTGCTTCCACCACTGAAAAACCTATTCACGCAAGTGATGTCTGTAACAAATATGCAGGAGTAAGGCAGACATGTTGAACTATTGAGAAATTGGTTTTACAGCACAAATATCCATGAGTGCCCACAGTCACTCTCTTGCATGTGTTTTCTATATGGAACACAAACATGCACAGGTTCAGTGTGTACAAAGTTGGTTGCCAGCACAAAATAACACAGGGTCTTTTGTGCAGTCCTCTTCACTGCATTTGGTTTACTGCATAATTATGCACATTAAACAGTGAGGCACAGTTGTTGGACAGCACAAAAGTGCAATCTGATATTCCCGTGAGGGTCTGTTAGTGCAGTGTGCAACACAACATGGCTGTGCTTCTTTGAGGTGTTTACCAAGTGACCCAAAGAGTGACTTCAGCGTAGGAGGGTTAATAATCCAGGTTACCCACAAAAACTTCGGAACCAAGTCATCTGAGTATACATGTTGATATTGCATGGGGATAAAATGAAATACCGGTAGTAGTTTAAAAGGACTGGGGGAAAAATGACTCAATGAGGCACTTACGTAGAGGCCTGAGAAGAAATATTTGTAACCAAGTGGGAAGCCGTATTCAGGTTTAATGATGTTTGAGACAATATCCGAGGCTAAGGATTGAGCTGAAGTCCCGCTCAGAAGAGAATCACCATTTGTAACTCCAAATGGGAACATGATTATTTCTGTGGGAAAAAAATGGGAAATGTCCCACAACCGGAACCACATAATTTCATGTAATACAGGCAGGGAGACTTTTTTCTGCACTATGTGACTACATGCAGATCACAAAATTCACATCAAATTTGAAAGCAGTTTATGGTAAAAAGTATCCCAAGCCCAAGTTCAATTTCTAGATCACAAAACGACGTCACTCACTGGAATACAACACAGATTTAACATGTGAACATGTTTTCCTGCTAATGTCAAGGAATAAAAGCAAATTTCCTAAAGCTACAATCACCAATACAGCATCTATATTAAGGTTTTTTCGTACAGCAGTGTGAACCTTAAATTAAAAAGATTAACACATTGACTATTTAGATTGTAAAAGCTTGAAGGTGACAATTTAACAATTTGTTTCAAGGATCAAGGATATTATTTGTAAGAGCTAATACTTTCCAACCTATTGTGAAACTAACACATGAGAAACCAACAACACAAATGCAAACATGTACATCATGCATGTCAGTGATCAAAACCTTCGATTTTCCTCATCGCATATATTTTACCCTGTGGAACCTAAGACTGTCACAGAAAATTACAACGATGCATAGTTTACCTATGGGTTATTGGCAGTAACAACAGACATTTGAATGCCACTTTAATACAGATCAGAGTCAGAAGCTTGCCTTCAAACACACATGTACATGTATGTACATGTATGGGCCTACCCAGCAAGATATGCATACCTTCGGAAACCCCACACTGTTCCCAAGATCATGCAACCAAGCTCAAAACTACCACTACACTGACACAAACCTCGGCAGAGGAATCCGTTTCCACGGAATCCTTCATTGCAGGCGCATCCGTAACCGCCGATTGTGTTGTTACAGGTTGCATTGGTATGGCAATTGTGGATAGCAGACGTGCATTCATCAATATCTGTGGGATGATTCAAATGATAATTGCATTTGGTTCAAAAACATAGCTACATGTATTCACCAAAAAACAAATTAATACAATGTTACTTGTTTGTGCAGTGAATGATAAACATTTAATTTCATATTCTGTGAAGTATCATATTTTTATTGTGTAGGGATTTTGGAATTCCCCAGTTAAATCAGCAAATTATGTGACCTTTGTGATTGAGCCCACGTGCACACTTAGAATGTAAACGTATGTATTTATTTTCTGGAAGTCACGCCTGTCGGCCGAAAGTGGCCTACAATGTTATACTTTATGGCCGGAGTGAAGAAGGTTGGTAGGCTTCCAAGGTTTTTTCGGGAGTGCAGTGCTGTGCTAGACAACTGGGTGGATGGACGTGGTGATGGCTCCGCTGGGAATCACATAGATTGTAGCATCTGACACATATGATTGTCCAAGCAGTTTTCATTATTTAGTGGTGGCGAAATAAGAAGAATCCAGCCCATTTAAAGTACCCAAGTCTTTTGCCTGCTGTACTTTCTGTTTTACCTGGCCTCCGCCTTCAGTGGCGGACAGACCGCCACCCCCGAGCAATCGGCGAGGGGCCGGACAGCTACAATTGGTTTTATGGCAAAGAAAAATACGCCCAAATTCACAGACCAGCTTAACAATAAACCAGTTTTAGCTACAATGTATCTTCGTGTTTTATGGAGCAAAAGCTAATGAACAGTAAGCACAGCAAAGGTGTTATTAACATGTAAGCAGCACAAAAAGTGACCTTGTTTTGTACTTTACTAATATTGTTGCAACACTAAGAGACAACCACAAGTTTTTTGCTACAGTTTCTGCTTTTAGTTACTATGGTCTAACCATAACTGTTGCCATGATATTTAGCTGTAAAATTAAGTCCTAAACGGAGCTCTTCTAAAAAAATTGTCAATATTTAATAAACTTTCCACATAGAAATAAAGCACTCGATAGAAAAATATCACAAAATTACTTGAAGAGTTGTTAAAGTTTCACCGGAATGTCCATTAGGTGATGTTTTGGATTTCCCCAGGAAGTAGGGATGAAATATCCAACATAAAACCGCAATCACCTGTTACAAGAAACTTAACTGCACAAAGGGAAGGAATAGTTTTACCAATAGAGCAGTTAGTGCCAGTCCAGCTTGGAGTACACATGCATTTAAATGCATTAACAAGGTTGGAGCAACGACCTCCATTCAGGCAGGGAGAACTTTCACACTCATTAATATCTGAAAGGAAAGAAACCCCAAAATAAGGGCAAGGGGAACTGAAGTTATACTCCAATATCGGCCATGAAATATAGACCTAAATGTTCAGGCACTGAAATGCTTTTATACAATGGAGTAGCGAGACCACTTATAACAAGAAACTGCCACAACAATGTTCAATACATGTATGTGAACTGCAGTGTATGCAGAGTACTTGACGGTTTCCTCAAAGTTTAAAATTCAACTTATCTTCTACGTCCAAACTTAATCCAAAGAGATCCCAATTGGACCAATGCATTGTTTTCTTCCGGGGGAAATGGAAATAACATGTTGAGCACACATAAATCAACTGAACAGGCCACGCTCCATAAACAAACATGCACATTTTGCCCCTTTACTGACATTTTGGACACCCCACCAACACCATAATTAGTCTCAAAAGCATTTTTAATGAGATGAACGTCTTAAGCAAAGATGAAAATTTTAAGCATGGAAGGCAAAAGTGGCATTTTTTTCAAAACAACATACTTGTAGAGGGTAAGACATTATCTTAGCCTTTCAACAACTCTGGTGTTAAATCTTTCCATTTTACAAAGCTTTCTGTTAAGAAACTCATAACTCCTCATCTTCTTTGTTGAAATTCAAAAGTGAAGAAAGTGATAAGAAAATAACAGCTGAGCAAAACTTCACTAGGTTTGCTTTAAACTACCTGTGAATAATGCTGAAATTCACTGCTAACTTCACCATCACTTGAGCTTTCTGAAACTTTAGAAATGAAGGTAACCTCACACAGACGGTATATCAACATCCAGCAAATAATGCATCGTGCACAGTCACCATGAGCAGCACAGTGCGGTATACCAATGAAATTAATGTAGCAATAAGGATGGCTTGGCTGTACCTTGACATGTTGGGATCCTCCCCTCCAATGTGCCATTGTTACATATGACAGTCGTGTCAGGAATCAGGGCATAACCTGGGTAACAGGTGAAGCCGATGACATCCAAATGCATGACAGGTGATGAGGCGTTGTGTGAGCCCAGGGCTGGAGTCCTGGGAGTAGGGCAGTTCTCTGAAGAAACAATTAGAGAGGTAACCATATTTTAGTTTTTAGACTTGGACATTTTGTCACCATTTTTACAAATTTTGCTATGGAGTACAAAACAAAACTTTCAAGAAACTCATGTTTTGAGTTGGTCACTTTTTGAAACAGTGAATTTGTAGGGATTTATTTCAAGAGTTAATTAGTTGCATACACTGCACCAAAGCATATATCTTAAACTGCCACCAAATACTGGATAATGCTATCTTCAATCCTCAATTTGAATGCACATGTAGTAAAGGATTATTCATTTGAAAACACCTAAAATTTGTCGAACTGTGAAATCTTAAAAACAAGGGAAATAGTATTTTCAGTCTGAAAAAAGACGGTGAAAAGTGCATTTTTCCCTTCACTACTTCACATAGTCATTAAACAGAATTAAAATTTGTCCCTTTGTGAAGAAGAAAAATGCAGTTTAGACGTATTTCAACAGATTTGGTCAAAGTCTGGCTGCTACAATCCTCACTTTGACCACTTGCTGACAGTGGGGCCTATATATTATAGCTAAAAATTTGAACTTTTAGAAAAGGCAAGATCAAGTGGCCACTCAACTTTTGATACGGATAAATACATGTATATGTACACATGTACAAGTGTATGTGTACATACAGCCAAACATCACAACTGCTGATGCCGAGTGTCTACTTGTATGATATTTCTTACCACAGCATTACATTTGTCAACCCTCTGGGGTTGAAATTCTCTACCACAAAAGGCCATGCACAGCAGCACAACTTAAACACATGGTCTGCCTCCACAGACTTCTTGAACTTTGAGTGTGTGTGTGTGTGTTTGTTTCTGCATTCAATTGGGGACACTGAACAATAGCGGACAATAAGGTCCCCGATTGACAGAGGCTCCCCGATTGACAACTGTGTACAAAACATATGGGTGATCTTCTAAAAAAGTTAAAGTACAAACAAAAGAGGAACAATAGGGGGTCCCCAGTTGCAGGCAAATACACACTTAAGAGTGTGTGTGTAAAAAAAAATAGGGGTAAGCAGGTTTAATTCAGCCAGAGGTGAGTCAAGGCACACTTGACTCAGCCAGAGGTGAGTCAATGCACTCTTGAATCAGCCAGAGGTGAGTCAAGGCACAAGAGAGGGGTGAGTCCAAGCACAATTTACTGTTTAACTGATCAGCTAAATAGCCAAAATGTGTTTGCCCGTCCTCTGAGTGAAGAGTGCTTAAAATGATAGGCTAGTTCCAGTGGATCATGCCAGACTGTTATATCCAAGCTGGCTCCCAACAGACCCTAAAGGATATTTGATGTCATATCACATGTATACTGAATGCATATGTTTAGGTGGAGAAACCCTTCCTTCAGCCTGAAAGACCATTATGGCAGGAATATGGTCAAGCTACACATACCATAGCACTCAGGAAGATCCACACTCCATGTCATATTTGCGCAATAAGCTGATGCATCTCCTCTCAATGAGTAGCCATCCAAGCAGGAAAATGTCACATTTTCACCCTCCCGGTATTTCTCCTTCCACGGTGCGATCTGCCCATTTGCCAGTTCTCCAGGGTGTGGACAGAAGACTATATTAAAAAATTTACAATTAAAACAAAATCCCACACGTCAGTGAGAATTCTCTCAAGAGTGAATAAAAAAAGACTGGATCCTGCGGGGTTTTAACGTGACTCATGTGACTTAAAAAACAAAATCTTGTAGAAATGAGCAAACTTCTACCATGCATAAAAATCCCCAGCAAATTCTTTATGTCCCTTGAAAAGTTGGAATGGTTAAGGTCGCCATTTCTTACACTGCCACGGCATTAAGTGTGCCAATGGAAAACCCACAATAAAGAAGCAGGCACTGACACCTCAACTCTCATCCATCCATCATTCTCTCTGCACAAAACAATGCAGCTGATGGGAAGCATAGTTGTTTCAAGCAAATTATATCAATTTTGGCCTCCCTTCCCCCCCCAAAAGAACCATTTTGTAATTCAATTAAGAAATAAATGATCAGTCTTTATGGTCAAACATGCTGCAGCAGTATAAGTTTTGAAAGTGGGATATGAGTTTGTACCACAATGTTCTTCATTCTCGTCCTCGTTGTTCAAACAGTCGTAAGTATACCCATCACAGAGAAAACTGTTTGGGATATACCGGCCTTCAGAGCAACGATAGTGGTCTGGTTTGTAGCAGTGAGTGTTCACCATCAGCACATCTGCCAACAGGAAAAGTGGTTCATAAAAAAATCTCATTATGAATGGCAACTTTCCTGCTTATCCTCTGAGGAAACTGACCCAGTTTTTAACAACTCTGACCACTACAGATGTAGCTTAACAAAACACTATGAAGAAAATGAAACAAAAATAAAATAAAAAGTTAAAATACATGTAGAAGGTCTTTCAAATGATTGGCAGGAATCTGGCTGCAATTCTCATTGGTTAAAGCAAAACGAGAGATGAAGTCCTTTCGTCTTGACCATCGGCTTCCACTGCAGTGATTTAAGTGGCAGTAATGCTGATGCGCAACATACATTGGCAGGAATTTACACATGAACTGGTCTTACATTTGGAAGGCAGCCCAGTCAACCTGCTACTAGATCAAGGAAAAAGTTCATGATGTAGGTGAGTCATGCAGACTTGGCTGAAGCCAACTGAAAAATTATGGGATGACGGCAGGCAAAGATCTGGAGTTTCAAGAACACCTTTGCACATCAGGCAACTGTTACACATGAGATGCATACTGAAGTGTATTCTTCCAAATGACTTGTCAACTGGCTAAGTGGCAGTGGTGGTTTTTTATCTTACTTAACTTTTGGACAAGATACCCCCCTCCCCTCTCTTCTTCAAAAATCATAGATTTCTATTGAAAAGGATTTTTTTACCAGCCAACAGCCAATCGGATGGCATTGTCAACATCAATCATCATTCAAGCACATACACTAGGACATGTTACTGGCCCCTGGTGGTAATTTTGTGAACTTCATGTACATGTAACTCTTCAGCACAAATCACTCACCACAGCAAAGTGTCTCATCTTCATCATAGAAGTCTGTGCAGTCACCTGGCCACGAATCGCAAAAAACCTTGCGGTTTTTGCACACGCCATCAGAGCAACGGAGTTCATCACTGTTACTGCAAGGTTCTGTAGCAAAAAACCAAAATCAGCCAAATACGCTGTACTTCAGTTGTGCCTTCATTTTCTGTATGCATTTGGGTCTGCATACATTTACTTTGCATTTTTTCACATTTTCATGACAACTAAACACTCGCAAGAGTGTTTTAGTTGTCATAGCTTTAAACATGGCTTTAAAACAGTTTAGTTGCCAAACAAACTTTCTGTGGAGCTTAAAAGCAAAAGAAAATTATGCTTACATGTACTTCCATGTTGAACCCAACTCCAAGGCTGTAAACATGTTAGTACAATTTTTAGTGTGAGGACTGATGAAGCTCTAGCAGTGGATGCCCATTTTGACCAAGGCCTCACGCATGTTTCTTGGCATAACTGCCACTCCAATAACAACAGATCAAATAGCCCACTCTCTTTTCTAAAATTGGGCTGACCCTGATGATAGAATGTGAAATATTTTCATTGCTCAAATATTAATTACTTGTTCTTTCTAGTTACTGTTTAAGCTTAAATTATCTATTGTTAACATTAGAAAGTCCATAAAGAGCAAGAACACAAGGGTTACAGGTACCTGAAATGCAAGAGTGTCATATTCATAAACGAGGCATAATTAAGATTTTGAACTCTGCAACACTAGTTCTGATCCAGTATGTATTTGCAAAAAGGGAAGACCAGAATAATTTACGAAAAGCCGAGGTGCAAAATGACAGATACAGTACCGAACAAATAAGCAAGTCATATTTTTGGCAATAATGAGGGAGACTGGGTGTGACCCTAGGAGCATATTCGTAGTCATTTTTGGGGGGGCCAGGGAGCCAAAAATTGTTTCAGGGGACCAAAATATTTGGGAATTTTGTGTAACCTTTCATGGCCTTTCTAAGGGATAACTAAATTTGGGGCTTAATTTATACAAGATGGAAGTGGACAAATGTTTTAAAAATTGCTTTCTCTCATTTACATGTACATGGGCCTATTTTTTCCCCAAATCAATTTGCTCAATGGTGGCCATGACCACCATTCGCTCTAAACGAGAACAAGAGAGGGCGTGTTTGTGGTACTTTGATTGGAACTCACTGCATGCACGTGCTATTGGTAGCTTGCAACTTTGGCATGGAACATGAAACCAACAGTAGTTTGAATTTACAGTCTTTGCACATGCCCTTGTTGCATGCATCCAGTTGAAAAACTTTCTCACCAGCCTCAGTCTCTCTCTTGCCAATGAGGGCGCACTCCAACTAAGGACCCATGGCCCCATACCCCCCAACCTACATTTAGCAGTGGTATCCCCTCAAAACCTACATGTACTGTTTTATGACATTTATCGAGCCATTTATGTTAAGCAAAATTCGTGACATTAAAGCATAGTACATGTATGTACATGTATTATAGTTCCAGAGCTTGCATGTTTGAAATGTCAATGTTAAAAAATCTGACAAAAAAGAGAAACAAAATTAAAAAGGTGCAATACATACCATTAAGGATAGAATTTGTAGTAAAACTCTCAGTTGTAACCAACTTGACAACCGCACTTGTTCCAGTTGGGAAACTGTCTGCGGTTGTCTGAACAAATTCAGCC